GGCAGTTATTTGATAGCAAAAATCTATGTTTCAGTGTTTTTTTTTTCCCAAAGCTGTTCTCACCAAGATCTGAGCACTCCCCTTCAGCTTGAGTGATCATCTCACGGAGTACCTTCATTCTTGACCATTATTTCTATTACAGACCCTGTCACACTAGACAACTTATGCCAACCTATGAACATTTTAAAAGACATCTACATTTAGACATAAAAACATGTTTCAAAAGTTGGCATAAATTGTCTAGGGTGACAGGGTGCTTTACTCCCCTTTGTTTTATTGTAAGTTGTTTAGTTATAAAGCAAAATTGAATATATATTATTGTAATTAAAAGGTGATGGGACACAGAGTATGTCATAGACCTTAACCACCTAACTAAAATAGAGTAGAATTTATGTAATCACTGATATACATTTGCTATATCCAATATGTTATTAAATTAAAAATGTTTGACCAAAAAAAAAAGACAAAAAAAATGTTTGACCTGTGTTGATTTTTTTTAGTCCAGCCCCCTWAAAGTGTCAGTTTTCTGCAGTATTGAGGGCTTAATCAACATCCTAAAGATTCAGGGTCATTTCCCTTTCCACATCATTAGTTAATTAACAATAAAACCTTTTTAGTTAAAAATAATAATAATTAAAGCTTCCCTATTATTTGCAGCCAACTCATATCATTATTATGATTTAAATTGGGTTGAGTTTATAATGTGCCCCACTTTGATTCAGTAAGTTTCTATCTTATTGTTTATTTATTCTATGTTTGTAGATGAATCATTAATGAAACTGTAATTATATGATAGATCATGTAAAAAATGTGAAAAATATTTAATTTTTTAATTTCTTTTGCATCTTAATTCAATATTTGTAAGACGGACACTAACTGCCCAAATTTTTTTAAAGAATTATTTATGTTCTAAAATGAAGCCATTGTTTAGTCAGCCTAAATAGATGAAGTGAAAATATTTCCTTGCGTAACTTTCTAACACTTGCATGGTGTGATAGTTTTAACCAAACACTCTCCAGTTTAGTGAACAGCAACTGTGTTACTAATAATAACATTGATCTGGTTTCAATGAGAAAATGCCGGGTGTGAAGAGAAGCAAATCTTTCAAAATAAAGAGCAAATATTTAAAACAGATGGGGGAGGGGTCCATTAAATTCATTTAGTAAAAGAGGGAAATGCTAACATTTAATAGTTTTATGGCCACATTGCTTTCGTTTCTTTCCATCATGTGATCACAGCTTGTGACTTCCTTGTTTTGCATGTCCAAGCAGATGTGCATCATGYTCATATTAAAGAAAGCACACAAGCACCACATACACAGCAGATTTCCTCTTTTTCCCTCATTCACAGCTGTGTTCTCTTTAGCTCCTCGAGCCTCTCAGGATGGTCTCACACTTCACCTCGYGGTTCCACACAGCTCTCGTGTTGTTGTGTTTTACGTTGAGCAGAACTGACATTTCCTGCAGGAATGAAGCTGGTGAACCTGTTGATTGGTGAGTTGATGATACAGAACAATAATCACATTGCTGAAGTTTTTGTTAGTTTTTTTAATCTACTCTGTCTTTTTCAGGTTCATCATCTACAAACTGCCCAAGTACAGGATTGGCGAGGTTGGCAGTGGGGTGGAGTACATGTACCTGGACCCATCGGTTGGAAGCTGGCAGATGAGTAAATTCACAGTAAACAGCAGCCAAGGAGCTCTGGGAAACACGCTGAGTCAGCTGTATTCGGGGAAGACCTACATGGTGAGATGTCCCCGTTCTTCACGGAGGCCCTGATTCTGATCTTTGAGGAGACATTTACTGAGTGTGGCTCATTGTTTCCTGCAGTCAGACTTTAATAATCTTCACAGTTTGTTTTGTTCATGGGTGTCGATTTCAACACAGGAGCAAGAACATAGATTAAAAAACTATTTAGGATCAAAAGAGTTATATTACTTACACATTTGTGCAGTAAATATTACAWTAATAAAATAACAATAAAATTGAAAAACAAATGACATCCTGAAAGATGAATTTCCTCCAGAATTTTTTTTGTATTAAACAAGTTTTCTTTCTAGTCTAACAACTCCATCTACGCACTCTACAATGATGGACCACCAGTCCTGAAATACACCCGAGGCTATGGACACACTAAAGGTACATGTCATTTAGGAAATTTTATATTAGATTAATGAATGACTATTTTAATTTTACAGGTGCAACCATGTTAGATTGTCTTYTTTACAGCAGTAAGCATCCTGCAGCACATTTTCATGTATTGTTCTTATATTTTAGCAAATTTTGACTTTATAATAAAATCAAAGTCAACTTATGTTTTGTTTTGTGAATACACGTTAAAGCATGTCCTGAATACAATTGATTTAAATCTGCGGTAGTTACTGGCAGGTTTTTTTTTTTTTTCTGACCGATAGTCCAGTGCTGCAGCCCTGATTTTGCAATGAAGAACAGATCAATATGGAAAGAAATGTCCAAAGAGCATCAGCCTGATAACTACTGTTGACTCGAATTTACCAACCACTCTGACTCAACTTGGATGGAAAAGTTTGTGAGTCTGTGTGTGTTTGTGTGTCCTTTTTCACCCTGGCTTGTGTGCATCCTGCAGGGACTCTGCTCTTTGACCGCTCTCAGGGCTTTTGGCTGTCGCACAGCATTCCACATTTCCCCTCGTTCCCCGAGAGGGGCTACCTCTACCCCTCCTCTGGCAAAGTGCACGGCCAGACTGCCCTGTGTGTCACCTACGGGTACTCACAGCTGCTCTATATAGGTGAGTCAACGCTCATGAAGCAACCCTGACCTGCTCCTGCTCTGTGGACCAAACACATGAAATGAAATSAGGGGCCTTATCTTATGTAATTTAAACCTATAAGACCTTAGCTGTAGGCTACACATTTCTGCTAAATGCTTTTTTACTGTACAGTTCATATATAAACTATGATTAGGCAATAATAAGATTTGGTACTAAAAAACAGTTATTATATAAAGATATTTGTCAAATTAGCTCCAAAATCTCTTCCTGGTTAGAGTTTTTAGCATCAGTTTTTTTTCCTTCCCTCTCTCTGCCATCCTGCAGCAAAGCAGCTGGCCAACATTTACCCACGTTTCTACAACTGTTCGGTCCCCCCATCGTTCTCAGCCGACCTGCCGCAGCTTGTCCAGCTGTGTGGGGGCTCCAAGCCTCCACTGACCTCCACCCGGAGTATGGAGCCTCTGTTTTCTGCACAAGGAGAAAAGTTTATCAGCTTTGTGAAATCTGAGGACTATGTAGATGGTAAGATGTTGCTTCATGTGATCTCATTACAGCAGAATCACATCTCCAAAAAATTACATCTACAAAACAAAACGATGCCACCGTTTTTACACGTTTATAAGGGGCAGATTTTTTTTTTTCTTTCTGCACCCTTTTCATTCA